TGATGATGATGCTGCTGATGATGATGATGCTGATGCTGATGCTGATGCAGATGCTGATGATGCTGATGATGATGCTGCTGGTGATGATGATGCGGATGGTGATGATGTTGATACTGATGATGACGATGATGGTGGTGATGATGCTGCTGCTGCTGCTGATGCTGATGCTGCGGATGATGATGATTATGCTGCTGATGCTGATGGTGTTGATGTTGTTGATGATGTCGAATCTGGAGATGAGAACGATACTGATCATGATGCTGCTGATGATGTGGTGATGATGATGCTGACGATGATGATGATGATGGTGGTGATGGTGAGGATAATGGTGATGGTGATGACGATGTTGACGATGATGGTGATGGTGATGACGATGATGATGATGATGATGATGATGATGATGATGTTGTTGATGATGTTGATGGTGATGGTGCTGATGATGCTGATACTAATGATGATGCTGCGCATGATGATGACGATGATGCTGATGATGTTGATGCTGATTATGATAATGATGTTGATGCTGATGCTGCCGATGATAATGATGATGATGATGATGATGATGATGATGATTATGATGACGATGAGGATGATGCGGATGATGGTGATGCTGATGATGCTGATGATGGTGATGCTTCTGATGATGCTGATGCTGATGCTGATGCTGCTGATGATGCTGATGATGATGATTCTGATGACGATGATGATGCTGATGATGATTATGATGCTGCTGATGATGATGATGTCGACGATGATGCTGCTGATGATGATGCTGTTGCTGCTGATAATGAGGATGAATATGAGGAGGATGCTGATGATGATGATGCTGCTGATGATGATGAAGATGATGATGCTGATGATGATGCTGATGATGACGCTGCTGCTGATGATGATACTGATTATGACGATGATGATGATGCTGATGATGATGATGATGCTGATGATGATGAGGATGATGATGATGATGAGGATGAGGATGAGGATGCCGATGATGATGATGATGCTGATGCTGATGCTTATGATGCTGATGATGATGATGATGATGATGATGATGATGATGATGATGATGATGATGATGATGATGATGATGATGATTCTGATGATGATGATGATGATGATGATGATGATGATGATGATGATGATGATGCTGATGATGATGATGCGGTGGAGGAGGAGGAGGAGGAGGAGGAGGAGGAGGAGGAGGATCAGGGCGAGCAGAATGGCCAGAGGCCTCTTGGATGCCTCTCGGATTCTCTTCGGATGTCTCTTGAGAGCTTCTGGGGCTCCTCTTCGGGCGTCTCGGGGGCGTCTTGGCGGTCCCGGTGGCCTCTTAGAGCGTCTTGGGTGCCTCGGGGGAGCCTCTTGGGACCTCTTGGGGGTCTCATGGGAGCTTCTCGGGGACCTCTTGGGGGCCTCTTGCTTGGGCTTCGGTGGAGCTCCCTATGGGGCCCCGATCCTCGTGAGGGGGGTGCGCCGAAATAACCCGAGGCCGCCATGTGAACCCTGCCAGTGGGGCTTTCGGTTGAGTTCCCTATGGGGCCACAATCCTCGTAAGGGGTGTGCCGAAATGTCCCGAGGCCGCCATGCGAACCCTGCCACTGGCGCCTTCGGTGGAACTCCCTATGGGGCCATGATCCTCGTGAGAGGTGCGCCGAAATGGCCCGAGGCCGCCATGCGAACCCTGCCACTGGCGCCTTCGGTGGAGTTCCCCATGGGGCCACGATCCTCGTGAGGGGTGCGCCGAAATGGCCCGAGGCCGCCATGCGAACCCTGCCACTGGGGCCTTCGGTGGAGCTCCCATGGGGCCATGATCCTCGTGAGAGGTGCGACGAAATGGCCCGAGTCCGCCATGCGAACCCTGCCACTGGGGCCTTCGGTGGAGCTTCCTATGGGATCACGAAGCGCTGTGCTGGGTGTGCCGAAACGGAGACATGCAGAGAGCAGAGGCAAGGAGATGATGGTGGGGATGATTGTGACGACGACGAAGATTGCGATGCTGGCGATGATGACGACGATAACGACGATGCTGATGACGATGATGATGGCGCTGATGACGATGATGATGATGATGATGATGATGATGATGATGATGATGATGATGATGATGATGATGATGATGCTGATGATGATGCTGATGATGATGATGATGACGACACCGATGATAATGATGCTGATGCTGATGATGATGATTATGATGATGCTGATGATGCTGATGATGCTGATGATGATGACGGTGATCATAATGAGAGGAGGAGGGAGGGGGCAGCGGGAGAAGGAGGAGTGAACTCTGGGCGCTGTTTTTCAAAATGAGGGCCCAACACCATAGGATGGTTGGGAACTAAGAATAAACCTTATTGAGGGTACGTGAAGGTACGCTGAAGGTACGCTGGACTCGCACCTTGAAGGTACGCTGAAGGTAAGCGCTTATACAGGAAAACAAGTAGCCTGACGAAGGACATAGTAGTAGCAGCTATAGTAGCAGTGGTAGTAGTATTGCGTGCCAGATGGTTCGCGTTTGAAAATGTGCAGGAGGAGGATGAGGAGGAGGAGGAGGAGGAGGAGGAGGAGGAGGAGGAGGAGGAGGAGGAGGAGGAGGGGGGTAGCAGGAAGAGAAGAAGGAGGAGGAGGCAGTGCTGAAAATTGCATCGCTTTCACAAGTCAGCATAAGTTTAACGTAAATTTTTCAAAACTTCGCATACGTTTACAACGCTTCCACTTAAGTTTACATAACTGATCATACGTTTACATTTTTTCACAAATTATCTTGAGTCACATGTAACAACTTGCGCCTACTTATGTTGTCATGGTAAGCACTTGATCTGAGCTGACACATATATATATACACATACCGTATAAGGCAAGCTTCTGATCACTTTAGTGTAGTTGCATTTAGTTGCTACATATTTACGGGTGTTCTATCATTGTTCATTCATGTTCTATCATTTCTTGCGCAGTTGCAAGTCATGTTAAAAGTCAAGAAGACGCAGAACCCGTAAAGTGAGGGCCTCCTTGGGAAGGCTCCAGGGGCTGGTTTTTCTGAGGATGTCCCACGCGAGGGCGCCGGTTTGGAATTCGTCGCTAGGTTCGCCGGATTCGCCGGATTTCCCGGATCTCGCCGGAAATGGAACGAGGGGACCTCTGAGGATCCTTCTTGGGGAGACTCCGGGGGCTGGTTTTTCTGAGGATGTCCCACGCGAGTACGCCGGTTTGGAATTCGTCGCCAGATTCGCCGGATTCGCCGGATTTCCTGGATCTCGCCAGAAACGGAACATGAGGGCCTCCTTGGGAAGGCTCTGGGGGGCGGTTTTTCTGAAGATGTCCCACGCGAGGGCGCCGGTTTGGAATTCGTCGCCAGATTCGCCGGATTCGCCGGATTCGGAAACGGAACAGGGGGGCTTTTGAGGGCCTCCTTGGGGAGGCTCCGGGAGTTCCTTTTTTGAGGATGTCCCACGCGAGGGCGCTGGTTTGGAATTCGTCGCCAGATTCGCCGGATCTCGCCGGAAACGGAACAGGGGGGCCTCTGAGGGCCTCCTTAAGGGAGGCTTTGGGAGTGTTTTTTTCCGAGGATGTCCCACGCGAGGGCGCCGGTTTGGAATTCATCCCCGGATTCGCCGGATTTCGCGGATCTCGCTGGAAACGGAACGAGGGGGGGCCTCTGAGGATCTTCTTTGCGGAGGCTCCCGGGCTTTTTTTTTGATGATGTCCCACGCGAGGGCGCGGGTTTGGAATTTGTTGCTGGATTGGCAGGATTCGCCAGATCCCCCAGATCTCGCCAGAAACGGAACGAGGGAGGGCCTCTGAGGATTTTCCTTGGGGAGACTTTTGGGGCGATTTTTCCGAAGATGTCCCACGCGAGGGCGCTGGTTTGGAATTCGTCGCCCGATTCGCCGGATTCGCCGGATTTCTCCGATCTCGCCGGAAACGGAACAGTGGGACCTCTGAGAGCCTCCTTGGGGAGGCTCCGGGGGCGGTTTTTCTCAGGATGTCCCACGCGAGGGCGCCGGTTTGGAATTCGTCGACGGATTCGCCGGATTCGCAGGATCTCGCCGGAAACGGAACGGGGGGGGCCGTCGGCGGGGCCATTACCTCGCGCGCCGGGTTACCACCATTAGCACTTCTTTTAGTACTACTTGTGTTAGTATTGTACTCAGCATTGTCGGGGGCAGTCCATGAATTGTGCCGCACATGATGCCCCGCATGATGTATTCATGTGGGGCCGTCGGGGGTGGCCTCGACCCAAATTGCTAATTTGGGACGGCGGCAGGGACGGGCCCCATTGAGCATTACTTGTCCTGACGGTCAGGGCCCATGAGCAGTTGGCTACCTTTCTGTCCGCCCATTCCTTTCCCGTGCCCCTACAGTTCTGTTGTAAGGATACCCTCTGAGTTTGCTTTCGGAAGGACTTCGGGTCCTCCTGGATCTCCTCGGTCGCGATCCCCGACCGTAATGACGATTCGCCACGCCGTTTGAGGACGTCCCTCACCTTCTTGATAGCGAGAACGGCCAGACTGAGAGCGCCTGTGGCGGCGTCGCTGGCGGCTCCCATCGCTTTTGGCCAAGGGCTGCTGGCGGCCGGTCTGAAAGTGTGAATGGCCTCCAGGTTTGCTGAATACTAAGTTCTGGGCGTCGCGATAACTTCACGACAGGCGTTCCTGCTTGGTCTCGTGACACGGCACCCCCACGGACGGATCTGGCTTGCGAAATGCCACGGGTAGATGGAGCCGAGAGCCCCAGACGCCAGTTGTCACTGCTCCAGGAATTTTCACGACGTCGGACTCGGGGAAGGCTGGCGGGCAGGATTCAGTGCGTGTGTTCTGCATTGCCTGGGTTGGCAGACTCTCTGTGTACGTTGTGTGTCCGGAGCCTGTTCTACAGGGTTCTGTGAGGGCGTGCCCGCGTGTCCAGAGCCGTGCCTTCAGTGTGTCCAGGCTGCTCTCTCACTGCTGCGTCGTTGGGGAACCGTTCTGTCTGCATCGGAGCCGACTCGGGGCCTCCTCCGTAGCCATTTTGGCTCAAGCCTGGCTCGGGCGAACATTGGTTGGGAGGCTGTTCGCTGCCGGTTGCCTCACGAGTAAATCGACTACGCGTAAGAGTGACCCTTCGCCAGAGTGACCTGTGGTGCGCGCCCACTGGGGCCCCCCGATCGCTGAATGCGACGCGATAGCAGCGGCCTGCGCGCTTGGCTTTGGGCCCCTCGCGCCCCCCAAAATCTGCGCACCAAAGGTTACCTTTACCTACGGCCACTCTTGCGTGTAGCCGATGGTCGCTGCTGGCTGCCTCACGAGTGAACCGCTGCGCCTCCCCCTGGTGGTCATGCACGCGTGGTGGGCAGGCCTGTGCGGCGCCACGCTGGCAGCTCATGCGTCGCTGCCACCAGAGGTTGTACTCGGTAATAAGTCATGGGAGCCTCTTGTGTCCTCGTAAGTCTGTTTTTGGAGTGCGTTAGCGTGCGCTAGCGTCTGGTAGTCGATGAGGAGTCGTCGATCTAATGTCGATTAGCGTCAGTTAGCGTCGGCTGCCGCCGATTAGCGTCGCATAGCGTCGATTCGCAGAGGCCAGCAAAATGGTATGGGAGGCTCCGA